AGCTGTGGAGACCAGGTGCTGCAGTGCGCTCTGTAGGCAGGGCGTGACACTAACTGCGAGGTCCCTGCATCATTCAAAATGCCGTACCAAGTTGAGCACAAGTTAGCCAACATGTCCACATGGCACAGATCAAAGCAGGTGGCTAATTCATTTTTTTGCCCATGGGAAAACGAGGTTGAAATACTGCATACTGAATGACCAGCTGCACAGACCAGCCTGGAGCTACTGACAGGCGGGCAATCTCTCTCCCCAAAGAGTGGGCGGCGATGCCAGACCCTACAGCCCTGGCAGTCAGCATGGTTTACTGGCACAAAATGCTTTGATGAAGTTCATTTGTGACCTGTTCCACCACAGCAGAATAGCATGCCGGGCTGCAGCTGTCAAGTGTCTGCAGGTATGCTCAGAAGTACAGCAATTCCCCCATAACTGTTAAAAAGAAAACATTTTTTTCAGTGTATAGAAAGATTTAAAATTCAGAAATCCCTGAGTGAGAAATACTTGAACCTGTAAAATACAGAAATCCTTGAGTGAGAAATACTTGACCTGTGAAAAGTGGACATTACCAATACTATATAACCAAGATACAGTTTAGAAAAGGCCATGAAAATTGCTTCTGTTTTTAGTATTATTCTACTGCTGCTTGAGAGCACAATTCAATAGAACTAAAACCTCCAAAGAGTTCACAGAAGGAGTTAATGTTAAACACAGTAAGCATAGACAGTTCATCAGTAGAAGTTCCTTTTCTTTTCCAACCGGAGGAATCACTTACTGTCAAATACCAAGAATGCAGTGTCGGTTCTGGTGCTAATCAGCGAAGGAATAGGGTAGGCCAAACTGCATCAAAGCCTGTTTTTTAGAGAAAAACTGTTAGCCACCAGTGCTGGCATGTAATTAACTGCCAACAAGAAAACCCACAGTTTTAGCATTACCAGCTTAGAAAAGGGTATAAAAACGGATTGGAGAATTAGTAAAATATTTCCACATTTGGGGATCTTAGGCTGTTTTTAACTAGGTAAGGTCAAGTTCTGCTCCTTGGGGAAGATGATTTAAATTGGATTTTGATACTTCCTCCTCTCCCACTGTCCTTATCCGCATGACTTAAATCATTCCTCTCTGTCTGCTTTCTCTGTATTGGTACAGCCTGTTCTTCTCTGCACTGTCAAATTCTGCTGGCTTCACATTTTACAGTAACACTTACAAAGCAAAAAAGAATAAACAAAGACACGTGGTTTTACACTGCATCATCATGGATGACCATACTCACTTTCAGAAAGCAAAACTGTAACAAGTAACAGAAATCTACTCCTTGTGACAATACACAAACATGTTACTCATTAGTTACTACTCCCATGTTAAACACATTTACTCAGCTGCAAATGTTGCGTCTTTCCAACAAATGCAAAACAGCTTTTTGGTGGTAAATAGCAGGTATTTATTTGAAACAAAAAAAATACTTCAGTACCTGAACTATTGCATTTAATCATGTATTGTTGTAATTGTGTTACTCTACCTTTTTGCATTGGAGACAAATATACAGTGAACATTCAGATACCACAGATTGCACACTAGATAGTAAATCGTCAGGCCTTTTACGTAACCACCAAAAACCAGATACTGGATTCTGCAATGTAGTACAAAACTCCACACTCCAGTCTTAGCCAGTTATCTTCAATTTACTCCCGATGCTGTACAAATAAATGGCCATTTAACTAGGGCTTACAAGTTAATAACAGGACAAAAAAAATATATATTACACTGACACAAAAAGTCAGCTGTGTTAATAGTCATGCAACAAGTAAACAAACTTGCTGAAATTAAAAATACTTTCTAAAAACAGTTTTAACTGCATAAATATTTTATACACAGTTCATTTACTGAAACAAAAGGAGTCTTTAAATGATACAAAGCAAATATAAGTTTCTATGAATTTTATACATAAGAAAGTGCAAAATAACTTCTCTAAAGTGTTTTGCTAATGAACTGATGAGTGTTGGCTGGAGGCAGCCAGCCCCCTCTCATAAGCATGACATTACAGTTGCACACTACATACGAATGTTAAGAGTACATGAATAAGTATACTACAAAGAACAAGGCAGGGAAGACTTGAGGTACTTGCAGAGAATACAGTCTACTAATGTTAGTGTACATGAGTATATTTTTGCTCAACGGATTTTTACATGGAAAACAAAGCAAGTATTTGCATTAGAAGCTTGAAAGAAATGGAAAAAACCCTACTCCCAAGTGAACAAACAGTTGCCCACAGCACCAGTTGCCAGAGGAAATATCAGCAGGTGTGTTTTTTCCCCTCCACCTCCTACACGCAAGAACGCGGTTTTTGGAACAGCGCAAATGAAGAATTAAGTCAGAGGGCTGTGGTGATCTGCTTGCAAAATGTAAACTGGGACTCACCTCTACACTACAGAATTTTTAAAGAATAATGACCTTGACTTTTTTAGTATGCTGCCAAATATCAAAAGCACAGAACACCACCCGTACAATGTGCTTATGCAGCTGAATGCAGCCAACCACCTCTTCGCTGACAGGCCACTATCTTCATGACCCTGCATCAGTACTATACGACATCTGTTTGCTTTAGTTATATCAGTCTTATTGTCATAAACCTTGTTTTCAGTAGGGTTTAATTATGTGGCTGTACAAGTTCCAGAGTGCAGAAGACTTCCTTAAATTTGGTTGTGATTTGAAATCTGGAGGTAAGGGGAAGAAAACTCTGTGGACTCAAAGGCATTTAAGCGTTGTTAAGAGAGCCTTTTCTTCAAACTTAAAATGTTAAGGCCACTAGCCTGTCTTCTGAACTATGCTGGTTTTGCACCACTTTGGGAAGGGTGAAGGCAACGTTAGGGAGAACAGCTGAACACAGAAATTCTGGTGCGCTGAACACAGAAATTCTGGTGCTCTGCACATGCTTACTGAGGACCTCTCCTTGTTTTTAGGGACAAACGTGTCAGGGCAGCCCTGCAGCATGGCCACCCCGAGCATCACTCTTTGGATCCAAAGGGATCTATTTGGGTCAGCTAATCTCAACAAACCTGCATTTACTCAACAGCGTGCAAGGGCTCTAAAGAAGCCTTTCTGTTCATTTGGAGACCTAGTATACATACCAAAACAGGAACATATCTCATTTTACAGACTAGCACATACATAATAAACAAACATGTATCAAAATACATATTTAACCTTCAGTGCATAAACATGTGATATCAGAGTAAATAGTAAATGGTCAGGATTAACAAAGTACTCACTGCTAGAAGCTCAAATCAAGAGAAGATGGGTGTGCCCCTGCACACCAAGTGCCAAGGATCTGGAAGGACCTCACACCACCACAGAGGGCATGGCATTTTTGATGTTGCAATTCCGACAATGGTGCTGGTTTTCACCACTTGCTGTCCCAGGGCCAGAGTTGGCCCAAAGCATTCTAACTGAAGGATAATCTCATCGTCTCGAGTGAAGACACTCACTGAAGTACCAGCAGAGCAAAAGCGGGGCCACCTGTCTTCTGTTGGTTTGGGTCATAACCTTACTGCTATTTAAAAGAATCCATTGTGAATGTAACTAGATCTAGATCAATTTGTCAGCCATTTACAAAATATATATACATACATTAAAAACCAAAACCAAACCAAATCAAACACCAGCCTGCCCCCCACCCACCCCACCCCTCGCCCAACCAAAAACCCACTGGCAAGACCTCATTCAGAAGTTAAGTCCATGGGCCTATCCGATGCACGTGTTCCAATCCCAGTGGATATCAGTGTCTCTACTTCATCCAACATGTAGTGCAAAATAAATGACAGAGTAGTAAAAAAATACTGCAATTAAATTCATATTGGAACTTAAAAACCATAATGGAAATCTGCTGTCCTCAAGCTGATACCATGTGCTGAAACACGAAGACATCTCTTAGAAGCGTTTCTGACATGACTAAAAGCACCCTGTTTTACAGCAATGCCTACTGTTCCAACAGCTTTTTGCAAACAAGCTACAGGACACCAGTGGTTAAATTTTATGCACAAGGAATTAATTCTGTACCTATATGCAAGCCAATTGCTACTGACTAAAGAAGATAAAAGCTGGTTCTTGCACTGCATGAATCAGCTGCTAATGAACATTAAATAATTAACAAAACTGCAGCTCTGACATATGTATAAAAGAGGCCTTATTAAATATGAACAACACTGAGGTGGTAAATAGTTTGGTATAAAATGCAACACAAGTGTACAATTTAGTTCCTGGTTATCTTACAGCTAGAATAAAATACTCCAAGTCCTATTCTCAAAAATGTTTTCTTTTGAAAAAATCCATGTAGTTCTACGAATAGCCTTAATTAAATTAAGATACTGTGGGCAACTGAAAGAACAAACATGCACAGACTGAATTTTTAACAGAAATATGCATAATGCCTTGGAGTTAGAACTCTTTTTCGTTTTTTTCAAACATTCGTATTTAAATTGATAGATGAGATAAAGATGCCACACAAAGTACAGTGGTTAATCTAAAGTCCCATGTAACAGGCAGTTAAGTTCATATTTAGATAAAAAGGCCATTATACCTATTTACAATATACACAGTTGCTTGCGAAGGCGGCAGATTTACAACTATCTTCTAAAAAGCCTTCCCCTCCCCCTCCCCCCAATAAAGATGTCTAGCTCTACAAAAACAAGAACGGGTGTTTCGGGTAAGTGTGGATTTTCTCGGTAGCCGTGTCAACCTGGGTTTAGGGGCTGACCATTCTACTGGATTTGTGGTTATTAACCATGTATTCCTGGGCCTTGCTTTTCACTTAATTATGCTGTTAGCCTCATTCACCTTCTGTCAACACAAATCAATTCAATGATCCCTTTTTACTTTTAGTGCTTAAAACTCAGTATAAACTTAAGTGTAAACAGACAATATTTTAATGCCTTCCAATCACTGCACGATACTGTCACTAGTTCTTGGAGTTAGGGCAGGGCTGGATGGGGTGTCCATTTGCCAGGACCCTATCAGTTTCTGGGCCCCTCCTCTGAACCCCGCTCATGCTGCAGGTTGTAGAAGCAGTTCTGGCAGACTCTGACTGGTGATGAAATCTTCAGACGCTTGATTTCAGACTGAAATCTACTGCACCTGTAAAGGAAAACAAACATTGCTGTGAACACAGGTCCTCTGCCGACCTGGCCATTTTCTATCCAGGTGTGGAAATTCTCATCATGACTTCAAATACCACAAAACTGTCCAAACTTATCTTGACAAAAAATGCAATGCAGTGTGGCACAAGGAGAATTTAACTTGTCTGATCACCACAGAATCAGTGCAATGACTCCGCGTGAGAGGTAGCTCAAAAACAGCCGATGTCATCAGTTTAGACTCAAAGTATAGCTACAGAGATGAAACTGGAAATACTGTTTCTGACGCAGTGGACCAGAGAAGAGACTCCCACCTCAGTTCCTGGACAAGAGGAGCTCACATATGTCCTCTGTGTCACACATTTTCCTGTCTGAGGCTGCATGCTACTGGCTCCTAAACCATCATTGTTACAGTCCTGCACACAGCTTACATTTTTACCAGGTTGCTTGTAGACTGACAAGAACAACTAGTTGCTGCAAAAGAAGTTTGTTTGTTTGGTTGGTTTTTTTTTGGTTGTGGTGTTTTCAGTTTTTTTTCCTTTTGCTAAGTCTAGAGTTTTTCCCGGATGGGTGACAGAGAGGTTTTCAAAGCTGCAAGCAGATTTCATTCTCTTCTGATACCTGTCTTGCTAACTGGATTTATAAAGGGGCTGGTCTGTCTTTTCTAATTCCTCCCTGGAAGTTTTGAGAGTTTTGATGGTTTTTCTTCCATCAGTTCTGTTTTGGTAAGGGAAACCTCAGTCTTTCAGCAAAATTCCACGGTATGCAACAGCTTCACTCAACCCAAAACCCCGTATGGAAAAGAACCCAAAGGAGACTGTTGGCTGACTTACTTTTGGCAGAAGAGCTGTCCGCAGTTCCTGCAATGGTGACGCCTCTCAGTGAGTGAAAAACGAACTGCGCAGCCCGAACAGCTGTCTCCCCCCTCATCTTTCACCCAGTGATCAGCTGCAGATCGGCCAGGCTGATCACTTACAGACCAGCTGAACACTCTGCCTCGACCATCCCCAATAAGAATTCTGCTGTGATCCCTGCATGAAAAAAGCAAAAGCATTAAAAAAATTCCTGCAACAGCTCTGACACAGTAATGCACAGACATCAATGACTGATTTTACGTGTCAGAATATGTAGTATGTTAAACTACCAGCATAGTAACTAATGTGCAAATTAGCCTGGTTTGACTAAGAAACGGAGCTATAACAATACTCTATGCAACATAATGCAGCTAAATAAGTTTACTTATTTTAGGTTTTTTTTTTAATCTCAGTCCTTGAACGAGGCTGCCCTAAACAGAAGCACCACAAAACAGCATTATGCAAAGAACAATGGCTGGTTTGTACTGTTTCCCGCTGACAACACCAAAAAGAAAATGTTTTAAGCAATCATTTGCGAGCTACTCACTTAGAAATGCCAAGTGCGGTGATTTCTGCTGGATGTGCGTTGTCCTTGCGATCAAATGCCGTGTGCATAGTTAGTTTGCTTCGAAACACCAGCTGACGCTCCCATTTGTATCCTAGAAATTAGTGGGAAGTAGGAAGTGAAAAAGCAAATTTGCTTGCTCTCATTTTTGTTCCCTCCTCCCTCAATATACCTGTATGCATGACTTCGTAGAAAGAAAAAATCCTCCCCCAAAAGATAACTCTCCCTGACTCAAGTTCCACTCAGGGAAAACACATTTTTCAACTAATCCCCAATGCATGTAAGAAAGGAGAGGATACAAAACAATGCATAGAGCCTCCAATTCCTCTAAGTCCAGTTGGGAGCTGCAGAAAATCGTGACATATACAGGGAAGCCCTGTACCAAAGACTGACAGGATTGGGATCGCTTTGGTTTTTATTTTTTATTTTTTTTATTGTACTTTTAAAGCCAAGACTCAGATTTCCAACTGTCACTAATTTTCTTCATAAAAGCTCATATGATGCTGCGTTTTGGGTGACTGAAAAAGGACATACCAGTATCCTGGTGGCTGTTCAGCAGTACTTGCACAGTGTCAAGGTTTTCTCTTTTTCCCCACTCTGCTCTGACCCCACCCCACATCAGGAGTTTGGAGGTGTGCACATAAGTCGGGAGGGGACACAGGCTGGACAGCGGACTCAAATGGACCAAAGGGATATTCCACACCATCTAACATCATGCTCAGCAATACAACAGAGAGGAGGGGTTTTGGGGGAAGGCAGCCATTTGCTCGGAGACTGGCTGGACATCATTCTGCTTGAGCGAGGTGGCAAGTGATTGCCTTTGCGTTACCTGTTTTGTCCCCCTCCTTCCTTCAATATTAGGCTATCATCGTCTTGACTCATGAACTCCCTTGCTTTTGTTCTTTCTATTCTCTCCACCATCCTGCTGCAGGGGGATGTGGTGGTGCACAAGCAGCTTAGCTGCCAGCCAGGGTAAACCAACCACAGCTTCTCAGGAAAAGCTTGAACAACATGCAACCTTAGCATACAAATTTTTCTCCTCACTGTCCATTTTGGAATTTATCAGCCAACCCTGCCCAAAGCCGCACAGACAGAGACTGCCTTATGGGTCAGTGCTGACAGCACATTTATCTGACAGAGGAAGTGTGCCCAACTTCTTTTACCTGGTTTAAGCTTGCTGTAGTGCCGTGTTTCAACATAGCTGGGGTGTGGGTGGTTAACCTGAGCATGGGGATGCATTTTTGCTTGTCCCTCAGAATAATTCACAAAGATAAAGCCATCTTTCTCATCCAAACTGAGCTGGTCTGACCAACGCCTGGAGTCATCAGAGCCACTGTCTGCTGACCATGCTGCTGCTGCTCTGTTTGATGATGACCTAGGCCTGTGGCTGGTGCTGCTTGGCTGACTCTGGCTCTCCTGCAGTTTCGTGTCCTGGCCTATGCATGGATCATCTGCCTCGGAGTCACTGCTGTCCTCTTCGTGGGCCTCCTGCCCTGAATTCACCCAACATGAGAGAAAACACTGTTAGCAAGTCTGCTCATAGCCTGAGGTTTTTCCCTATTCTGCTGTTGCACTACCTACAACCCAACAGGTACCACCACAGCATGACTAAAGGCAAACTGCATACAGGCATCTCAAAGCCTTTGCACAGATTCAGCTCCTGTCAGGAGTCACACTAGTCCGTCAGAAGACAGCACTCCTTAGCTGAAGATATTTCCTATGACAGTCCGTCTGAGGTAGGCTATGACAGACACAACAAGTACAATTTTCAAAAAGGCTGAAGCTAGCAAAACAAAATCCTGCTGCCTTTCAGCAAAACTTACACAAGTAAGCAGAGTCAGCTATGCTGAAACTCCAGTTGGCTGAGAAACAGGATGCAGATTTGTTAATAACAGATTTTTTTTAATACAAAAAAGTAACTGCTGAAGACATTTATATTCCTAGTGACATGGAAAAAAAGTTATATTTATATAATAATTACTAGTAAGTATCATGCAATCCAGATGCAAATCCAGATTATATCTTCAATACGCAAAGAGCAAGAGGAAGATGAGATGGCTAAAAGAAACACCCATCGGGCATGGACCAAAGTCTTCTGACATAGGAAAATTATTGTCTGTCTAAAAATTACTGTTGTCTCTCTAAACAGCATGCTGTTCCATCAGTAGATTTAAGTCTGCTGTTCTGCTATAATTCCATTTCAAAATTAAAAAAATACCCAGCTTTTGGACAATGGTAGTATCCGTTGGGTTTATCAATAGAGAAACAACCACACACAGAAAAGTTCAGTCTTCACAGAAAAAAAGCTATGACGGACATGATTTTTTCTTACTCATAGCAGTATGAAACTACCATAAGCAAGGTGGTGAACAAAGAACTCAGATGCTCTATTATTATGCTCACTGGATGTCTTACCGTCTTTTGAGACAAAATCCCCATTGTCCGTTCCACACTGTATAACCACAGGATTTAACCTATGTATAATGGAGATCAGGTTAAAAGCAAATACAAAACACTTGTCAGGAGACATACCTATTTGTGCTTCCTGACAATCCTCTTGCATTTCCAGCATCTCCACAGGCTCTGGAGCTGGTGTTTCTGGTACTTGCAAAAACTCCATCCGCCAGAACTGGAGGGACAGGGGATAAGAAAAGTGGCATGTACTGAACTTGCAGCTTCTGAGCTACTTCTAGAGTTTAGATGGCTTATTAGAACTGTGTGTTTGCACTGGTAGCACAAGAGACAGGTCACATCTGCATACTAAGCTCTATTTACGGGGGCTAGATACCGTAAGAGGACATCTGTGTTTATGCCTGAATCACAAGCAAACAAGTCTTGTGCCACTATTTAACATCTTAGCTGTTCGAATTAAAAAAAAAACCCAAAAAAACAACAAAACACTGCGCATAGCAATCTGACCAGCAGACTCTGGTTAAGGCAGACCTAGCTCACAGCAAAGTACTGAAAATCGAGTTAGACTTGCAGTGATCAGAGATGCCACTAAGTTCCTCTTTTCTTTCTAGGCAGCCAAATGAATTGTCTCAAGGTGTGTTGAAAAAAAAAAAAAAAGTGAACAAATCCTACAATCTCCAGGCATGAAAGCTGGTGACCAAAAAGTGACCAAAACAGAGCAGGAAGGAAAATGTATGCTGCTGACTATTGCTAGTTACCGTACCACAATGGGTGCATCGAAAAGGAGAAAGAAAGCTGAAAGACTACATAGGAATGTCAGCTCACGGGAATAGTTTTCCCTGAATCTTTAACATCCATCTAACTTGTGGATAGGATACAGTGCACCATCCCATGCAGAAATGGCACAGCTGGTTCCAGGACCAAAAGCAGTCTGCACCATCCACCCAGCCTGGACTCCGTCCCTCCTGCCGTTCACGTGGAGGACCCAAGCACAGCAGGACTCCTTTTGGTACCAGCCAGGACACTGCGTTGGATAGACATGACTCCTCTAACTACTGCTACTACTAAGGCACAAACTTATTCTTCCAAGCAGCAATTCCTGGTACTTACCCGGACAACTCCATCCGAATGTCCTGTTACTATGACGTTCTGGGTATCCCACTCATTCATCTCTGACACAAAGCAACACATTATTTGCTGGCTTCGGCCAGTGAAAGTGTTTACGCTTGCGGTAGGGCTGCCATTAATGCTCCATACATGGATGTAAGTGCCAGCACATGATACAATATCCCCCTGCAAATACAAATAATACCTCCATATTTCAATACAAGTCTCAGGTGTTCTTCAGCAAAAATATAAGCCAGGTTCATTTATAAGCCAAGTTCAGCCATCCAGGCTGGCACTTTTCAGGAAGTCCTACGGAAGCTGAGTTTGGCTACCTAAACAAATCTTTAGGATGACATCCATTTGTTTTTTTAAATTGTTTATAGAAGACCAGACTTAGTAGCAACCTATTTGTTGTATTTACAGCATGCAATGAGTAGACCAATTCCTCCACTTTTTACAGCATAACAATTCAACAGCGTCTTTTCAGTACTTTCATGTCTCAGTTTTCAAAGACTCTACTCATGTTCACTCTGCTCTTTTTCCACAAACACGTACCACCTTAAACTCCCTTTGCTTCCTTACTGGCAAAATAGCAAGAAATGGTCCAAACCAGCGCAGAGGGGAAATGGGAGCTGCAGTCTAAACACCGGCAACACTACAATCACCAGACTACTAGCAGCTAATAAATTGTGCCTCTTGCTACCCTCTCCTTGCGTTATAGCCCTGTTTTGTCTTGATTTCAACCACTACGTCTCCTCCAGTTGCAATATGGTCCATCCAGTCCTGACAGACCAGCTACACAAAGATTCAACTCAGGCAAATTCTTTGACGTGCATGGGAGCTGGATAAATGGCAGGGAGACAAGCTTTTAGGGTATGTCTGTTTCTGCTGTAATTGTCACTGCAGTTTCATCCAAGGTATCTTCTGCTTCCTTTAAATTAAGCATAAGAGAACAGAAGCCAATCAAGGTCACACATCAAAATTTTCTCTTAGGTCCTGCGGCATGTTTGACAACCCACTTCAAACGCCACGCTAGCTATACTGCTGCCAGCACTGTTAATAAGCCCTTCCGAGCTCAAACCACTCTGCATGGAATAAACCCACATGCATCTCTGGATAAAGATGCAAGTTACTCCTTAAACAAGCTAATTATTTTTCAGTTGAGTTTTGCCAAACTAACACAAGAGTTTAATTTGTTCTTCTTCGGTTTAACAATTTATGATTCTTGCTGCTGTGCGCACTCGTTCCCATATTGGTGAATGGTAATTGGTTCTTACCGTTAATTCATTTATACAGAGTGCTGAAACTGGAGCCCTGTGACCTCGAAGCTGTGTCAGAAAAGAGAGTTTATTCAAATCCCAGATGATGCAGGTGCGATCCCGCGATCCACTCACAATTATGTGATAAGCTAGTGATGCTGTTAAGCATGTGACAGCGTCAGTATGACCCAGTAATGCCTGCAAAACAAAAGTCAGGAGGAACAAGCTGCAATCAGGAGAGCACAAAAATCACTACATTAAATCCACTTAACTGAAAAAATGCAGGTAATGTAAACATGAATATCCTATCAGAAGATGCAACTGACTTACAACTATTCAGTTGGCAACTATTTTCATAATTGATAATGATAGGAATAATATTTTTTCCCATTTAAAAAGTACTCTCACAAAACCAAATTTCAGGGGTCTCATGCTACATAGCCTTCTACTGAAAAAGCCCCCAAAATAAATTTCCAAGCCCTTCTGCATCAGTAGCCTATTTATAGGGTCAGTATGTGTTCCAGACTGCACCTGAAATTATATTCTGAAAACAGAAATTCTTTTTAAATGTAAAATGGCCTCTACATAAACTTCTGTTGATGTTTGATAAAAAGATAAAAGAGACAAGAAAGAGTTGCAACTAAAGATGCAAAGTCAGTTGGAATTAGGAGAAAATTACAAGCATCTACTTGTATTAGATCCTGCTTTTACTGGCTTAACCTAACCACTGGAACAGAAGTCTGGAGTACAGTCAGACTATGGCAGCTTATTCAGTTACAAATCAGTGGCTAAAGTACAGCAAACAGCCTTCAATATGCTGCCCTGAAAGTCAAGACACAGTGTTTTATGTGGCACTGGTCTTAAGTAAAATGCTTTAGAAACACAGCTTTGGGCAGTTGTTGGACACCACGCAAAAGTTAATAAATAATTCTCTAAATTTCTTCTCTTAAGTTTGAGCTGAAGCTTCTCTGGAAAGAGTCCTGCTATTAAGATGTTAACAGGAACAGTAACACCTAACAACCTAGGCACCTGTAACAATGATACATAGCTTCTAGAACATTTTGAGGTAGTTGTTTTTTATGTTGTTGTTCTTTTGGTTTTTTTTTTCTTTTTTTTCTTTCCTTTTTTTTTTTTCTTTTTAGTAAACACACAAGACATACCCTACACTTAGCTGCAACTGACTTCAAAGCACGGGTGTTCATATGTTAGATTAAAAGTTGATGTTTTGAATTAACAAAGCAAGAACAACTTAAGTTGACCCTGTACAAGTATACTCTGCTCCACAAACATCACCACCAGAAAGAGCAAAGTTTTGCGCAGAATTTTAATTTAAACATATACATTTTAAAAGAAAAAAAAGTTTAAAAATTTAAAAAGGAAAATGAACTTTTAAGACCGTCTCCACTGCCCTCAGTGACACAGATTTCAGATGGGGGTATTTTACATGCAACGCTACAACAAAGCAGATGATTTCACAAAACACACCTGTATAATTTTCTTGACATTGCTACCAAATTCCGCATCTCTCCAAAAAGCTCCTGGTAGTCAACTATCCTTAAAATCAATACAATTTTAATGACGCATTTTTCCCACTTTCAATGCAGATCAGTACCTCGACTACTCAGTTCTCTAAAGGTCTGCTGGACTCATGGTTTCAAAGCTTACTATATGAGCAATACCCCTTTCATAATTCCTTTGATCTTGTAACATAATTTACATAAAAGGCACCTTTATTGTATTTTACCTGTTTCAGTGTGAGGGCTTTAGCTTTTTCTTTGGAAATGCCCATTTCCCACACACACACCACTGTGCTTGTTCCTCCAGTGATAACTAGTTTGGGGTTGGGGCAAATGGCACACAGTATCTGACCCCATTCTGACAAACATTCATAAACAATTACTGCCTAAAAATAAAGAAAATAAAGAAGAATTACTTGCAGGATTAGCGTTTGGTAGGATAAAAATAAAAAAACGGAGTGTCACCCTGCACGCTGGACTGCTAAGTAACTAAGATATCGCTGCTACCTCTTACACAGTTTCTCCTCAAACAGAAGCAATTCCAGCCTCTGCCATAAGATGCCTCCCGAGAGAACACAAGAGATGAGCTTTAACTGCACAGATTTCATTCATTCACGTTTTGCAGACCCGGTAAAAATTATTACTGGTTTATGTCATTCTGCCAGTGTTCTGATGAAGACCATCAGATGGGGAGCAATAAAACATATGCAGTACAAGATTATTTCATTCACATGTGAAATAAATTTCCATTGTTAGATTTTTTTTCCACTATTGAGTAGTAATTGCTGTTGGCACATTCAGCACTGAAACAAAACTCAAATTACAAACCTTGTCCGACTCATAGGTACCCAGTCTACAGCTGAGGTCTGCATAGCCCCAAGCAAAAGTTTTATTCCATGTAGGTGGGATAAGAACCTTATTCTGTTCTACTGCCAGAATGCCTTTATCAGTACACATGATCTGTCCCACGGGCTCCTTGAGCTCTAAAAAAGAAGATGGGGTCATGTTTTATTGCTAGCACAGACAAATACTATGTGATCCCATTAAACACCTGATGCTCTGCAAAAACAGAATCTCTGTATTGGCTATGTTCTATAAATCTTTGTTTCAACTGCAACAATGGCAACTTCTGCCACATTCCTAACAAATGCAGAGCTAAGCACCCTCAGTAGTCGTGCGAACACCCTGAGGATCACAGATAGCTCTGATCCCACCTGTCATGCTGCACAACGTGTTCTTCAGACAGGATATCTGTAGTCATTAACAGTGATTGTACCACTTTCGGCACAAGAAAAAAATAGGTTTTGGTATTGATTCTAACATCTTGGCCAGTGCTCCCACAGGCTAAATTCCTGACTACAGCCCGAGGTGTCTTATCTGTTTCTCCCCAAGCTTTGCAAATATCATTTAGTGCTTTCTAATTTCCTGTCTTTAGTGTAGGCCTGCTATGTTCTGTGTAATAGTGCATCCTTCTCTCCTTACAGCAGGCAGGCACAGATTCATCTCATCATCTAGGAAAGAAATCACTATATAGCATTTACCTGCATCACAGACAACTAACTTTTATTCAGTCCAATGTCAGATATCAAGTCAAAATCCACATCTTTTCATCTCCGTGCAGCTACCAACACCACCCCTTCCTGCCAAGATTTCTCAGTGTTTCTTGGCACTGTGATAAAGAATCCTTCTGCTACGAAAATCACAAAAATTGAAGCTATTGCAGGCCTAGAAGCAATGTACCCTGAGTATTATTTGTTAAATTAAAACTTTAAAGAGGTGCTTGGGCCCAATATTATCCTTCTGTTTTAAAAAAGTTATATTAAACCGGCACAGATTTAGTGCTTCCCAAGGACACTTTAAGGTAGCTAAGAACATAATCTTACAGCATCAGGATATTTTAAATTTGTCTTTCTCACAAAAGTACAGGCATTAAGAACATTAGAACTATGCAAAACATGGAAAAGGATGATCTTACTGAAATTCTGAATGCTCTGGCAAAGAAACAGGAATAATTACTGTGACTTTATAGTTCACCTTTCACTGGGGCAAGAGATGGCCGCAGGTTGTCCAAATGATGAAAAAAAATCTTGTCATTTGTGGAACCAGGGGGCACAGAGGTTCCTACAGCCTCCCCATTCAGTCGGCTTCTAACACGCTTCGGTGGGTGTGGTTTTTTAAAGAGCTGAAATTCATCAAGAAATTAATTATCATCAAAAATTACAGATTTACAAGAGCACAAGCTTAAAAACACCATCAGTAGTTCCAATTTACCTTCTAAAAATTCTGGTCAGCAAATGTGTTCTCAGTATTCACCAATAACTTATGGAAACCATTTCAGTAAGACTTCAATAAATAATATGAAATCCAACAAGGATTTGTAATGAGTAAAGTATTCTTCAAGCTACCTCCGGTTGCAAAAGCAGTTGAAGTAAAGCAAGCAAAAAATCACAAAGTTGATGCATAATGTGGTATTAAATTCTAACCTAGGACAAACTGAAAGCTAATTTTTGGCTTTTAAACAAACTGTGTCCCACAAACAGCAGCTCACACACTTGGAGGCTGCCAGGCTATCAAGAACAGAGTAACAGCAAGGGTGGGCATGTAACTGGACCACATATGACAATCACACACAACAAACACATCTTAGCACCTGATTATCTTCTGCCTAGCTTTTCATTATGAGTGACTGAATTTCCATTTTACTGCTTCAGTGACTATTCCTAGTATCTCAGACAGTGTTAAACAAGCCAACCATCGCTTCTAATAAGTCGTGATCATCAATGACACACACTAAGGTCTATCACGTGATAAATCAATAATAAGCATTTTGGATGGTAGATGCTATGTATTATAATATGTAAATGACAAGTATAAACATTGAGTGATATTTTGTAAGATTTTTATTACTCTTTTGCAGAGAGCACTGAAAGGGAACTGAAATTCCAAGGCTGAAAGTTATTGTCCTTACAGCCTTCAAGATGTGTTACCTGTTTGCCTATCCAAAGCAGAGGGAACATGCATAAGCCTCAGGTAGCTGAGCTATGAGCATGCACACACATTTCTAATGCTCACACCTACAGTCTGGGTATGAAGGGTAACAACAGGCCTACATGCCACAGCTCCCCCTGAACTACAGCACGCCTCCCGTCTGGTTGGGCTATGAGAAGATGGGAGAGAGAAGGTGCATCATACAGTGCTCACATGGACAACTGATCTTAAAATACGCCAGTTCCAGCAAGAAAAAAAACCCCAACTCCTCCTTTCTCCTCTGAGCGATCTTCCTCTCGCTTATTCATTCTGCTCTGCCCCTCCAGGCTGTGGCATCTCAGGACCCTTGCAGAGTCTGTGAGAGCCCTCTTCCAAACGCACCACCAGCTCTGGAATGTTTTTTTTTTAAATGGGAAACTGAACCACCAAGGGAATTACTGGTGGAAGAGATGGGATAACAAAGATGTAGTCCTCACCTTACATCTCCATACAGCAAAGGAGTGAAAAAGTGCACAGCAGCCATGTCACTGAGACAGTCTGCCTTAGATCCCCTGTGGAAAGTCACGGAGGGTCACAGGAAAACTCTACAGTTACATAAAAATGTGCTCCAAGAGCACCTGCCACCAGAAATGACTTATGGAAGGAGTTGGAGTTTCCTGAGTTTATTGCAGTCTGCCTATTTCCTCTAGCAAAGCATCACACAATTTCTGGTAGATCTCATCATAGGTTGGTACCTAACAGGCGTTTGAAGATTCAGGCAGACCTTTGGACTCAGCTGCAATGCTCTTCTACTGCTCTGCTCTCAGCCCCAGTCTTTATCTGTTCATCTGGCTTTAGCTGGGCCATGTCTGATTATCATCACAACCCAGTGACTGATTATTACTTAAAAGGAGAAAATCCCACAGCCACACCTTATTAGATTATTGATACAGAGCAAGGAAGGGAAAGTAGAGAAGCAGCCACAGAGGAGAGATGAGCAGTTCTTAGCCTTCCTTCCAAGAAACAACAGACAGACAGCCATTAGTGGGTCCCCACAGGGCATATCCTGTGGCTGTCCTGAAACATTATGCGCTGCTGTAGTCTAGAGTTCACAATACGTGGGCTGGATTCCCAATGAATCGCTAAAGGTATCTGTGTTTTCCATCAGGTCTAGGATTGGAAAAATTCACTGATGACATTTAAAAGTTTCACTAGACAGCAAAAAAAAACCCTAAACAAATGCCTAATTAAAAAAAAAGGGAGGAAGAAAGAAGGAAACCCTCAACCCCCCAAAAACCTAAAAACCCACACAGTAAAATTTTAGATTTAATATTACATTTAATAAGTAATCTCTTAAAGAGAACACAAACTTTGAAGCTGCACCAAAGATGTGTCTATACTCCTTAACTATAGCTGTCCTACAAGAGTCAACCTTCTTATTTTGAATTTTGAGGTTCTGTCCAACAGATTCTTCAAATAGAAGATGTGGCCAAGCTCTGCAGAATGCCAAGAGACTGGTGTAAAAACAAAGAAGTGTAAGTTATTAACAGAATGATAACTTAAAAAACCTAAACACTAGGCATTACTTTGAAGTTGCACTTTCACTGCTCCCCTCTGACTTTGCAGCAGGAAGGTACTTTTTTTTTTTCTGATGCCGATTTTTAAAGTTGAAATATAATTCATTTCGGCTTTGTTTTAAGGGTGCAAAGGGGAGAAAAAAAAAAAAAGACATTTCTGATCTCACAAGCAAAGCCCAGAGTTGATCTTCATTGCATTTATGATGAAAATGTAAATTATTTCACATCACTGGAAGAACATTTATGGAAAAACACTCCCAGGAAATTTCACTGTTAACCACTTTCCTGTTCTATAGTAATACATTTCAATTTGAGTGTCATCTGGCAAATATGAATGCTACGAAGGGTATACCTGCTTTGGTATCTGCCCGAAGTTATTAATGAATCCTATGGTAGCTGTCTCTTTTAATGGATCACTGATGTTATATATGTCCACTTGCCCCTCATAGAAGAGATGGTGAAAGACATTTACAGCTTCTACCGCAGCAGGACCTTGCTGTTTATAGCCAAAGATCAAGTCAATCCACTCATGCAGATGTGCACTCACAAAGTCACATTCCAGAGCCTGAAATTCAAAGGGCATGCGTTAAAACGAGCCGCACTGGTCATCGGTTGAGTCTACTACATCTTTCACAAAGAAAAATGCAGAGTATGTGTTGACATATTCTTGTTATGTTTTGATAAAGCCTTTCATTGAGGCAAGTCTCACCTCAATATACTCCCTAGCCAAACAGGAAAAAGGAGGAAACACCGGATCTACAGACCTTTGCAACAATTAGCCATCAACCCGGAACTCACGGACTGGCTAGTAGTTGTGACTGCACAAATCCAGCTTCGATCAATATGCAGTGTAAAGTCCCAACTGACATTTTCTGTTATTATTATTAAATGCAAATTACCTCCCGATGAACTCTTATAAACTCACGAGGATCTCCTTTTGCCCATGGGGGGAGTATTACATTGCCAAGTTCAGTGCCATTTTGTTTGCAACCTATTGAAAAAAAAAAAAAGAAAAGAAAAAAGAAAGAAAAATTTGCAGAGAAGCACTGAAACTGCACTGCAACGGTGAAAAAAATTAAGAAAAATCAGGTTCTAACATCTTTCCTTTATAAAGCAAGCCATTTCAGTCTTTTCTTAAAATACAGTGTCATTTTTACATGTCAGGCAATAAAACATGAAAAATTCTGTCTCAGTTGTTCATGTAAAATTGCTCACATGAGGAAGAATTCAAATATTCCTTGCTAAGACTTTTGAAGATGATTATAGTGTTTCAGCATACATTCCTCAAACAAACATTATCCTTCTAGCTAGAGGTGTTGATTAGCTTACTCTTCCTCAGTCTTCAGAACTTCGTAACGTACAGTCTGAACACAAAACCTTTATGTTTCCCCATCAAGTGCTCTTCAAACGTCATTATTTTGTCTTTATTTTTCTATTTCAGTAAATTTCTGCTTTCTCTCCCTGTCATGGGAAAGACCCCTGCAGCACATGGAAGTTAATGAAAAGAACAGCCAGTAAAATAGCTTTCCACAATCCTTGCACAACCAGAATCTTGTTCTGTTGGTTAAGCTCGCACCTAAGCAGCCAACCCTGCTACAGGGAACTGCCACCACAGCACCTGTCAATTTTGCACCCAGAGGAATCAGCACAGCAAAGGTTCATTTTCTTCTATCTTTTTTACTTGCTTGTTCTTATTCTATGAGAAAAACTAGAATAAATGTTCTAGCCCCAGTTTAAGAGAGGACATAATTTCCTGTATTTGGCATCTGTTTAGTATGCATTGAGCAATGGCATGTCAATTGAGTATATTTTGACAAAAATAAATCCTAGTACGAGACAGTGTAACAGCAAACTGTACTGAGAAGCCTTGGTGGTACGGTATTTCATCCCACGTTTTCTCTTCTTCACAATACAAACATTCTGTATAAAGAAATGGAATTATTGTTTTACCCATGAGAATGGTGACGCATCACAGGAGTACAGGCTAAATATTAATTTCCTAACGGTGAAGAGCTAACTGGTATCCCCCAAAAGGTTCACATCCCAGGACACTGGTGATTCCTCTGGGCATGGTCTGCCCACATATCTGGATCCTGGTCAGCCCCCTTCCCACTCTGAACATTAAATGATGGCATGCTGCGATTATTAAAGATGTATTTGTTAAGACTTCCCAGTTATATTCTTGTTTTGGTGCTTGTTGCAAAGAGACCATTCCACGCTTCTTCCTATTAGCTCAGAGGAACACCAAAAAATTTCCAAGTTTACAAGGGTAACAAGTACAAGGGTTACAAGTACTAAGCACATTGCTCCAACAGAAACTTTGCTCACATCACCAAACTTTGAATCTTCCTATCTTTTTTTTTTTTTTTTGGGGGGGGGGGCGGTGAGCGGGAGCAGGATTGCTACGAATTAACACAACCAACAGCATCATACAGTGTTTGACACTTGTTTGTAACAAAACCTTTTCTACTGTTGTTCCAAATGCTCAATGAAGAATTTCTATGACTGATGATCACAGTCCAAAATTATCAGATACAGAGCTAAGCGCATATTTTTCTGGTAATGGCCATACCCTTCTGTGTGAGATATACCTGGCAGAGGTTTTGCAGAGGTTTTGCGGGGTGTTCTTTTGGTTTTGCTTCTGTTTTTGTAACATTGTGCTTCCACTCTCTTACAATACATTTTGAATAAATGATTTGAGGCCATTAAAACCTACAACTTGATTAATTTTTATTATTGCTGTTAGATTCAGGGCACACAACTCAGAAAATAAGAGCTTAATGCCACTGTTAAGAATGACATACATACTAAGAAACATGTATCTCCTATGGCCAGCAGGTGTGAAATTTGACTCCTGTTGAATAATCACTCTGACAAAAGCTTACTGCAACATTCCAACAAAACCTTTACGAATACTTTCAGAGGAAGTTCTAAAAGTGAAGACTGTCAAACAGATTTTGCAAAGCTTAAAAAAAGTGCAAAAAAGATGGTGAACACCATCATGGAGTAGCAAGCTACATGGAGAAAAATGCGCACCAGAGAAAATGCAAGTAAAACATAATTATTTGTGCATTGTGAACTGGTAAGAAAAAAAAAAAATCAACTAAAACACACCATTCCAAACAAAAATCCTTTTTTGGTATTGCAGTGTTTTGTTCAACAATCCTTAGAACAAACTTTGCATTAACTGATTAAAATGAACACTCACTGCTTGAGAAAATATCTGAAAAAATAAATCTGAGGTATCACAGAGGAAATAACAATTTCTGCTACACTCTTCTGGATGAAACAATGAGTTCTGAATCTTTCAAATATAATTTCAAATATAATTTTGAATAAACTTGTAGTATCAACAAATACCAGCAGTAGTCCTGCTTATGCTTTCATGTCAGAACATGCGAGTTATCTACCATTTTCTCATGCAGTTAAACAGATCTTTTTCCGCCTGTATTATGAGACTCTTTTCTCATGTCGGACTGTCTGGCACTGCTCTCGCACCTGTAGCAATGCTATCAAGCTCTTCCTGCCTACCTAGGTCAAAATTGTTAGAATTGAGCAGGAACTCGGGGAGGTAGAAGAACTCAGGGATGAGCTCCTTCACGTCTGCCATGTTGTGCTTTGATGCTGAATACCAAGCCTCCCGTACGCTGTGAAACATTCGGTCAGCCAGGTCAAAGTGACCGCCCTGCAGGACAGAGCAAGAAGCATGTCAGCATCAGAGTATCCCTCAGCACAGCAGATTTTGCCAAGAAGGCAAATCAGAACATCCTCTGCCTAATACAGACTCTACAGAACGTAGCATGTTTCTTCCTCTAACACAACGGTTTTAAACAGCTGCATTACTTTTTAGTACACAGTAACAGTAAATATAAAGCACGGAGGTACAGATATACCGAATTTTGAGTCTCATCTAATCCTATTTCAAAGTTTAGTCTCTTGCAGAGAAACACAGATCTTTCTGCCTGATGGCTTCTGTCTAGAAAAATATTTGACATATGTGATGTTACAAACCCCATCACCCATCAAACTGGCAAACCATTCCAGGCTCTGCAAATGTTTGTTTATTTTAACACTCAGTACTAAAATGGCTCTTTAGATAGACGTGCTGGTTTAAAATAACGATCTTCCAACACCTCCAGCACAGACCTAAATAACTGGCATATACTTCTTTCAACAAAAGACAAATAAAGCATGACGACCGAAGTATTTTTCACAATAAAACTTGCTTTGGTTTTGTCTGCTGATATTTTGTTCTGCGTTCATTTAGAAAAATGTTCAAACTACAATAAAAAATGTGAATTCCATTATATCTTTTACAAAGAAACATCACAAACCTCCCAGGCAATAACAACAAGGCTAAAAATATTTCTTCTACCATGTTTGACATGGTAGAAGCTGACTGGTTGTATTTTTCACTTAGGTCTCAAATGTACAGCAGGAAAGAAACACAAAGTGAGATGATGTAATTTTTACCTGTAACCGTAAGAAAATCTGAGTAAAAGGCTCCATCCGGACAAGATAGGAAGCCACTATCATGGCCGATGAATAGTGGGTCCCATAGTGATAAGCTGGAGTTTCCCCTGCAGAAGATTAAAAATCATAAACATAGAAGAAATAAAGCACTTAGGTGACAGAATCAGTACTAATTGAAAAAAAAATTAACTAGTGCTACATTTTATTTACTCTGTGACCTTGCACACATTTAAAATTGGAATTTGTAATTTTCATTCTTGAGAATCTGCAAGCTTCGTTTTGTCACAGCCACTTGAGTTTTGGCTGCAGTCCAGTAGCCCTAATTCAGTGGGCTTCTGTGAGGCAATACCGAATGGTTAGTCATTTTTTATTTTAACTAATTGAAATGTTGCAGTTACAGGGATTTCTGCTGAAGAAATTTTTTTTTTTTTTTCTACTTTTAGTCTGACTGGTTACTATGGAATTAAAGGCTTGGGCAGAAATATGTCTCAGAATTGTTGGCTACAGATTTTGGAGAGCTTTTACTTCCTTAATTTCCTGCCAAAAAGTCTGCATAAATACACTTAGAACATACTGATTCATTTCCAGAAATCAATGTCTTTGCCACCTGCTGTGGTTTGATACAGAACGGCACCGCAGTAGTTAAACAGGCTTGTGTCTTCAATAAAAGCACACAAGAAGAAATGTTTCATGTAATAGCTGCCTTGCCAAACACAAGTTTTATTTTCAATATGTAAGGAAGCTCTCAAATCAAGAATACTTCACTTAATTGCATCTTCTTCTCATTTTTTCTTTTTTAGCTAAGAAAATGCCGTTTCCTTAGCAAAAAAACATGCATTAAGATAAGAAATGAAAAAGCTAGAGTATTGCTGATGCAGAAGTATTCCCATTCCTTTGTACCACTTATTTTCTTGCAGCAGCACTCAAACTGTGTTAGTAGACAGCTGGTTGTGTGGTTCATGTGCCTGCCCATTCTACCTTTTAGACAATGTTAAACTGTTCTGAATGTGCAATCGTTTTGTCTTTAGTTTTACATATAAACAAAAGCTGTCATTCAGATTTAAAACAAACAACACAAGAAAACCAATGCCTCTTTGCTCTAATTTAGTATTTGCTAGAGAGTCACTAAAAACCACAGTAGAGTTCTGCATACCCAGATCCATAACTCTTGACACCTAACATAAAAATCCATGACTCTCTCCAATCATGTGACTGTAGGATGCATCACTACTTACCGTTGGGATCTTCCCAATCTTTGAATCGCTTCTTGTACTGGGCTAATCTGTCTTCTGTTTGAGCTCCCATGGGCTTGGCCAGGTTTCTGAATGTCTTGGGATTCATAAGATCCAGTTCCTTTAAAAATAACACAGACCTCAATTTAATAAATAAACATTCCCCAAAAAAACAAAAAACAAGCAAACCCTTTCAACAGTGCTGATTACCATGTTTAACAGCACATACCTCCTACAGCTGTCATCACAGAATGGTTTGGGTTGGAGGGGACCGTACAGATTGTCTAGTTCCAACCCCCCTGCCATGGGCAGGGACATCTTCCACTAGACCAGGTTGCTCAGAGCTCCATCCAACCTGGCCTCGAACACTTCCACAGAGGGGGCATCCACAACGTCTCTGGGCAACCTGTTCCAGTGCCTCACTACTCTCATAGTAAAGCATTTCTTTCTTATACCTAATCTAAATCTACCCTCTTATAGTTTAAAGCCGCTATTCCTTGTTCTATCACTACATGATTATCTTTGTTTTCTACACACGTAGCAAGTACCATGTTGAATATGCTTAAAACAGTTCTTCAGCCTGACCTAAGAGAGTCAGTGTTTTTTATTTGAAGTCACATCCAGGCTCTGGATAATTTTCGCCCTGCTCCCCTCACCCTGTTGCCCAATTCCCCCTAATTCTCTTCTTGAATACTCGACAAGCACCCTAACAATATTGTATGTTATGGTCTGGCTGGTATCAACAGCTGCCCACAAAAGCATTAATAGGATGTTTCATCTCTTTCAAAAGCAAATTCTTCACTGTGGGGCCAGATTTCACAGCAGCCCCTATGATCATCCTCTGGACAAGCACGCTTTCTCTGTGGGCATAACATCCTTTGGGATATTCAGTAGAAAGCTAATACAAAGACTTACAGGACCTGCTGCAAAATTGAGAAGCAACTGCATTAGAACACGGTATGTATCCTGGCCCTCACCTGTGCACAGTCCAATAACATCTGCAAAATCAGTGCAGGCAAGGACCAAGAATCTCCAATATCCTACCCACTGGTAAGTAGGAGGAACATGACAAAATAAATGAAATCAAACAACTGGTGATAAAGATAAGCCTTAGTTCTACCATGGCAGTATGAGCCAGCTCTAGTATTTGCAAACCCTCCAACATATAAAAGATTACTGAGAAGATACTTTATTTACCTCTGAATCATAGTCTGCGAGGATCCAGGGAAAGACAGGGTACTGCATGAGATCATTATAGGATCTGCCCGCCAGAGTGTTTAAGTGCATCAGGTACTGGAAGTTACTGATTTCTCCTCTCTTAAGGAAAACAGATAACAGCACTGTAAAGTGTACACTTCACAACAATCAAATGTCTGCACTGCCAGACTATCAAACTGTTCAGCGCTCCTCAAACATAAGAAGCTTACTTCAATGTTACAATGCTCACTCTACTTTTACTACAGTCCCTCCCCTTCCATTTTCAACACTAGAACCATTTCCTATTTGATGATGGTATCATGAAACACTACACAGTAAAATGCTGAGATACAATTTCTATAGTAGTATAGTCCACCTGTTTGAATAAGAAGATGCAACTTACGTGCACCGATTAATTTTGTACCACTACAAAATGTGGAATTTAATACAAAAAAGCCCCAAATTTTCATACTTACTTCCCATCTTTGAGTAACCGATTTTTCTCCCACTAAAGTGCTAAGCAAGCCAGACCTAATGGGAAGAAGAAAGTGCATTTTCTGACTTAGCAGTAAGATCTGGGTTATACCTCCACAAGACAATCCAAAGTTTTAAGATTAAAACTTGTAAATTGTAACAATTAGGAAAATGAAGCTTTGCTACTTTTTGCTTTAGCAGTGCCTTTTTTATTTCTAAACACAGACTGTTAAAATTATGCATATTAATTATGCAATTCAGTGCAAGTACAAGTGTATCTAACATGCTGCTGACGAGGAAAATATCTTTAACAGCTTGGACAAATCTAATGGCTTTGGCACTCCAATTCCTTCCAGAACATACCTGTATACCAATAACGTTAATCCTGATAGCATATATTTATTAGTAAGAAGATACACCAATGCAGCCAATGACATTAGTACATTTAAAATAACTGAGCATAACAATGAGTTCTTTGTTTTGATAATGCTCAGTTTTAATCTGAGGTTGCAGTACTCTCCAGTGAATCCTGACCTTAATGCAAGCACCATTTATTCAAAATTGATGAGCTACAGAGCTTGTGAGGAACAGAATCACCTACCCTTGCTCTACACTGGTGTTTGGTCTCTGCCCAGACACGGACTCCGAACTGTCAGTTAGAGATGGCACCACAGCCAAAAACCTGCATCAGCAGTTAAAAGGAGATTAAGATTAGTGTTTCTGTCCTCAGTATGTCTTCTCCTTAGGAACAAAGTGCATTTAGTACAGTTATAGACTTTTTTTTGAGCAACTAACATCTTCGACAAAATGGGAATGCCCCTTTTCTCACTAACTGCATACCATAAGTTTCACATGCAGGCACCAGCACTTCCTAGTGTTTCTTCCATGCAGCACTAAATTGCTATGAGGTTATCCACTGCCTAACACCCATCACTTGTGCTATCTGCTTCAGGTTGTTCGGTCACTGTAGGCTCAAACGTGGCTCAACACAGATATTTGCAAATATTTAGATTAAATGTTCTAACTTATTTTACAATACCTTTGATAAACTTTGTTTCTAACCCCTTTTTGGAAAGCTAGAAGATAGTTCCGTCCGTCTCCTGAGAAAACTTCAATTGCAATTGGCTGAAAACAAAGAGGACAAACCCATGTCAACACTAAGACATTTGCTCGTCACCTCTAAAGGTCAGGTGCAGACCAGTTGAGTCAGTACTGTACCATGTCTGACACCAAATTCTGGTGAAGCATACTTTGCCTAGTGCAGCCAGATGTTTTATTTTCGGAGTACTAAAATTCACTAATACACTCAAACTAAACCATGGTAAGCCAAATGTTCAAACAAGGATGCCCAACTTCAGTGCTTCAATTTCAACACAGTGAATAGCTTCACCTTCCAAATACTGTTCAGTTATGCACTTATTCTACTTTTTAAAAATGACATCGTCAAGAATATTCTGAAGTTGAATCCTCAGTTCAAATACAGTGTCCATTACCTGCAAAAGGTACCTCCTTTTATGTACTTCCTTGATATCTTCATATGCAAAAATGCTGCATGTTCTTTTGAGTTGACTTGGACCTTGTCTTGCTCCCCTAGGTATGATTGGCTCATGCATCCTGTAAGTGAACACAGACAGGCAAGAAAGAAGTGATTCAAAAGAAGATAAATTAAAATAATTATTCTCTTAATTCATATGAAAGTCCAGTTATAGACACAGCTGATTTTCACAATATAGCATACTACATTGAGCACTTTGTGAGCACAGAGGAAACTGCTCCTGAGGTCTTATTGAATCCGACATTATTTTGGAGTTGACTCCCCAAAAATCGCATTAAATACTTCTTGCTCAGCTATTAAAGACTGAGGAAACTCTGTATTAATCTACTCACTTCGGAGGCAGTGTCTCAATATCCCGTATTTCTCTGGTGGCTGTCATGGTAAATCCATCAATGACATAGAAGTGCTCTTTCCCAAAGAGAAGCAGCCCTTCGCTGGTGTCTAGGCCCTGAACCCGAGCACAGCGGTACATATGCTGAATCTGCAACAAAAAGTAGATGCTTAGCAAAAGCAGGTTAATGAGCTCAGCCTCGGACCATTGCTGTGTTAGAACAAGCCCCAGACACTGCTTTATCACTTGTAGATACAGCAAAAATTCTGCTGTCTTCCTCCTTCATCAGAGATATACCTAACACCTGTGATTAGCAGCTGGGAAGGGAGTTAAATAAAGTCTCCTCTGTATGATACAGATTTATGTATTTACCTACTTATCCACTTGCACCATGCTTCTAGAGCATATTTTAGAACCTGTAGTCTCGAGTATGATCAGAAATGCATTTACTGGTATACTTCAGGTGGGCAAAGTCTGAAATACCAAACACACAGCACACTCATTCAACACTGTTCTTGCGGATAAGATTCTAGTTATCAAGGTCGTTCATTCTACTGAAGGATACAATTAATTACAAGACAGTCTGCCAAGTTCAGTATTTATATTGTCAGTGTATTTTCTGTCTGGACTCATTAAACCAACAGGATAATAATCCAGGCATGGGATAGCTCACAGCATTAATTGCAGGACAGGTTCTTTTTTCCCTAGTAGGCAGAAGGAAAGAAAAAGAATGTTTCCAGTACAGGGTTTTCAGCTCAGGATCTCTTTGAACCGGAGCACATGTTTGCTTTCAAGGAAGAAGATGATGAAATATTAAGCAAATCCAGCTGTAGATCAGGCAAAGCATTTAGGACATTTATTCACACTTCTGACATGTAATGCAGAAATTCCAATACACGAAGTGCTTGGTCTGTTTTGAAGTACACAGTACCTTCTCTCCTTCTTCGAGAAGTCGAAGCAAAGTTGTATTGTCTGTCTTTTCCTCTTCATCAATCGAACTCCCCTCAACAATTTGATCCTGTGACTGGTCCTGGTTCTCATCATCTCCCCCATCAGGAGCAGAGCGAGATCGTTTCAGGGGAGGCTTCACCAGGCCTGGAAAAGAAGAACAGATATATATAAATAAAAACCTGACTGCAGAACCTACTGAACTTTGAAATTACTGATCCAATGCTAAGACAGAAAAACAAGAGTCATACAGGATCCTTCTGTTTATCTTAATGGAAATGCATGAGAAGACATAAAGGCAGATAAATTTAAAGAAAACAGTTCAGGACAGAACAAACGATCTAACCTTTGACTCTTGCAATAGTGTCCTCCCCGTGTTCTGGCTCCTGCTGAGTTGTTTCACCCACTGTATTCTCTTCTATAGCATCCTGAAAGACTGCAGGGTTTCCAGAAGCCAGGCGCATGTAGTACTCTTTACTGTCATAACTTACAGCTCTTCGGTACCGAGCAGGTTTCTTAGAAATAATTGAAGAAATTGCTTGATCAGTCAACTCACTTCAGTGAATGTGTTTCAGGAATGCTGTGTGCAGCACAGTGCATGCCCGTCAAGTGTTTTGTGCGTGCTCAGTCATACACCAACACATACAAAAACACAAACCCTTCAGTAGGTCTAATCTGTCAGCTCATTTACAAGGGAGCTATTCAGCCACTCAGGTAATAATGGGGTTGCAGAAATTGCTGCAGATAAACCTACAACATGAGATACAAGAACTGTGGCCAGTATGTCATGGACTGTCACAAAATGCTGGGATACTTGTGCTTAAAACAGAAAGATCAGATGACCATTTTATTGTCTTTTGCAACTCCCTACAACATAGGCAGCTTATTCGTTGGCTAGCCGACTTCTTTGCTAGGCCATAGTTTGAATAAAAAATTACCTCAAGGAAAAACACAGATATGTGGAAGCTGATATGAACTAAAAGCAGCCAGGGACTAGCTTTAAGGCTCATAAATTCTTCATTAATTCTGTTGTTTCTTATTTAGTATAGATTCTGACAGTTTGTGGGCAGCAGACTGGCACAAGAGTATCAATTCAACCAAAGTAATTCTCTGAGCACCATTTGTACCTTTGGGTGATGACACCTGATTACGATACATTTCATTACGGTGGTAGTGGTGTGCTTTTTCAGTTCTGGGTTTTTTTTGTTTTGTTTGGGGTTGGTTTTGTGGAGGGGCTTTTTTGTGCTTTTTTCAGTTGTGGTTTGTTTTGTTTCGTTTTTTTTTTTTTCCTTTTCCTTTGTCCGTCCTGTCCCCCACCACAGGCTAATTCTCACGTTTCTCACTTCACTATGGAGATAACATTTGAAATAGAAGAAAGAACTAAATGAGGACAATAAATATGTCAGAATGATCACAGAAAATATAGGTGACGATAAAAGAGGTACCAAAGAGCCAAGAACCCTTCCAAAATTAAAACACACTGACGCACATGGATAGATGAAAATCTATTGATTGTATACTGCGGCTGAAAATTTTCTTCTCTGACTACTATTTAACCCCATCCTCAAACTCTAGAAAGCTTTGTGAATGTGTTCAGGTCATCATCACAAATAATTTCTTGTTGTTGTTTTGTAGCATTATTTCCCATGAATTTCAAAATTAGGTTGGGATAATTACAAAATATTACTATAAATCCAGTTCAACGCTTTACACTACGTAGAACTCTAGATTATCTATCAGTCAAGGTTTTCCCTTGTCCACTTTTGCAGTAATAACTGCAAATACATAAAACACTATTTTCTTTTTTTTTTTGTTCGTTTGTATGATAGTATAGTGAGAAACGAAATGACCCACAAAATCAAACAAGGTTTATTACAAGTGGATGCTAGGGCTGACGAAGAGATTAAGATCAGCAACAGTGAAATTGGCTGCCCCCGAAATAAAAAATTTAAGGCGCTGTGATCTAGTTTGCCCCCTTATGTTCAAAGTTTTCACTCCTTATCACGCGAAAAAAGTCACTCAAATGATGCTTAAAACCTCTGTGGAAACAACTTATGTATAGCCTACAAAGAGAAACCATAACTAGTGCCTACATGGCAAGATGCTTGCTGGCATCAAATGGGAGCCACCTTTCTCAAAGGAGAAAGGGGGTCTTTGTTCAGGGGCTTGCAGGGCTCAATGACAGGGCTTTAAACTAGATGTTAACAAGGAGGGGGAACTTATCAGGCTTGCCTGTGACAAGCTGTGCCATGACACACAATGGTTAAAGGGACGGGGTGCTAGTATAGGCCCTCAACCTGTTGCTCAGAGGTGTGCTGGGGACACTGCAGCACAGTCGCAGTCTTGCAGAGATGAGCTGGAAGTAGTAGGAGCCAACAAGGAGCCAACAAGGAAACTTTCATGAAACACCTCAAGGGGTGTTCCAATAAGAAGGTGACATGGCCAACAGCCCAGATGAAGTGCCTCTACACAAACACACACAGCATGGGCAACAAACAGGAGGAGTTGGAAGCTACCGTGCTGCTAGAAAGCTATGACCTGATTGCCCTTACTGAAACTTGGTGGGACGAAACCCATGTCTGGAGTGTGGCTATCGATGGCTACAGGCTGTTCAGAAGGCACAAGCAAGGAAGGAGGGGCAGAGGCATTGTCCTTTGTATCAAGAAATGGATAGAGTGTGAAGAGCTGTTCCCTGAAGAACAGCCATGAGCAGGTCAAAAGCTTATCGGTAAGAATCAGAGACCAGGGCAACAAAGGGAACCTTGTGGTTGGTGTCTACTACTGGCCTCCTGATCAAGGGGAGCCTCCTGATGAAGCCTTCTTCCTCCAGCTCCAGGAGGCTTTGTGCTTGCAGGCTCTCGTCCTGCTGGAGGACTTCAACCACTCTGGTATCTGCTGGAAAAGTAGCACGCTGAGCTGTAGGCAATCCATGAGACTCCCAGAGTGCATTAACTACTCAAGCCAGGTAATAAACACCCGTATCCGAGAGGATGCAATACTGGACCTGATGCTCACCAATGCAAGTGAGCTCATCAGTGATGTCAAGATTGGAGGCAGTCTGGGCTGCAGCCATCATGCACTGGTGGAGTTCACATCCTGAGGGATATGGGAAAGGCAAGGAACATAGTCAGGACCCTAAAATTCAGGAAAGCAAACTTCCAGCTCTTCAAGGAGTTAGTCAGAAGGACCTCATGGGAAATGGTCCTCAGGGACAAGAGAGCAGAACAGAGCTGGCGGATCTTTAAGGATCTTCAGTGGCAACCTCTTTCCTCATCCCTCCCGAGATGATGGACCACAAGATGGGGACCAGAGGGGTAAAGCCCCTCCCTCTGTAAGGGAAGATCAGGTTTGTGACCACCTGAGGAGTCTGAACATACATAAATCTAAGGGACCTGATGAGATGCATCCCAGAGTCCTGAGGGAATTGGGCAATATTTGAAAATAATTAAAATATATTTAAATACATAATTATAAAAACAAAGATTAATTTATAATAAATATGTTTAAATATTAAAATACATTTGAAAAGTCACTGGCAGTCAGGTGAAGTCCCTGGTGACTGGAAGAAAGCAAACATTGTGCCCATTTTTAAAAAGGGTAGGAAGGAGGACCCAGGGAACTACCCACCTGTCAGTCTCACTTCTGTGCCTGGGAAGATCATGGAACAGATCCTCCTAGAAGATATGCTAAGGCACATGGAGGACAGGGAGGTGATCTGAGACAGCCAGCAGGGCTTCACCGAGGGCAAGTCCTGCCTGACCAACCTAGTGGCTTTCTATGATGGAGTGACTACATCAGTGGACAAGGGAAGATGACAGATAGACATCTGATGACATGTTGTCTATCTGGACTTCTGTAAAGACTTCAATACGGTCCCCCCCAACATGCTTCTCTCTAAATCGGGGAGATACGGATTTCAGGGGTGGACTGTTCCGTGGATAAGGAATTGGTTGGATGGTCACATCCAGAGGGTACTGGTCAACAGCTCCATGTCCAAATGGAGACTGGTAACAGCTGGGGTCCCTCAGGGGTCTGTACTGGGACTGGTGCTGTTTAATATTTTCATCAGTAACACGGACAGCAAGATCAAGCGCACCCTCAGCAAGTCTGCAGAAGACACCAAGCTGAGTGGTGCCGCTGACACGCCAGAAGGACGGGATGTCATCCAAAGAGACCTGGACAAGCTGGAGAGGTGGGCCTCTGTGAACCTCATGAGGTTCAACAAGGCCAGGTGCAAGGTCCTGCACCTGGGTCAGGGCAATTCCTGCTATGAATACAGGCTGGGGGATGAAAGGATTGAGAGCAGCCCTGGTGAGAATGACTTGGGGGTACTGGTGGATGAAAAGCTGGACATGAGCCAACAGTGTGCGCTTGCAGCCCAGAAAGCCAACCATATCCTAGACTGCATCAAAAGCAGCGTGGTGAGCAGGTCAAGGGAGGTGATTCTGCACCTCTACTCCATTCTGCTGAGACCCCACCTGGAGTCCTGCGTCCAGCTCTGGAGCCGTCAGCACAAGAAGGACATGGACCTGTTGGGGTGGGTCCAGAGGAGGGCCACAAAGATTATCTGGGGGCTGGAACACCAATCCCACAAGGAAAGGCTGAGAGAGTTGGGGCTGTTAAGCCTGGAGAAGAGAAGGCTGCAGGGAGACCTGATTGCAGCCTTTCAGTACCTGAAGGAGGCTTATAGGAAAGAAGGGGACAATCTTTTCAGTAGGGCCTGTTGTGATAGGACAAGGAGTAATGGCTTTAAACTAAGGGAGGGTGGATTTAGACTGGGTATAAGGAAGAATTTTTTTACCATGAGGGTGGTGAAACACTGGAACAGGTTGCCCAGAGAGGCAGTGGAGGCCCCATCCCTGGAAACATTCAAGACCAGGTTGGACGGGGCTCTGAGCAACCTGGTCTAGTTGAAAATGTCCCTGTTCACTGCAGGGGGGTTGGTCTACATAACCTCTAAAGGTCCCTCACAATCTAAAGCATTTTAAGACGTTCATTTCCATGTATTAGTTTATTGTTGAATGTAATTCAGTGAACGCACATTACAGATTGTACGTAGTGATGGGCAAGACTGCGAATATAATTAACAGAGTAGCAGCATAATACTGAAATGCTTGCAGAGCAGCCACTTCCAAACAAGTCTGTTGTTTTCAAGGTAGGATTCATACTTAAAAAAAGTGTGTATTTCTTTAACGGTAAAAATGAGAAGAGTCAGCTAAGACAAAATTAATCTGAGCTCTAACAAAAGTAGGCTTGTTAGAGCCCTTTACGGCCTAAAAGGGGAAAAACTGCTCACCAGATTCTTTCCTAGATAGAAGCACTTACTTTCCCAGTAAGTGCTTCCAAGCGATTGTGTTGCCCATTACTAAACATGTTCCAACAATCACTAGTTCAGATCCCAAAGCCACAACACTTCACACAGTGAGAACAGTGATAGCACAGCCCAACGCAGCCTGTTAGTGTGCAGCAAAGAAGGTAAGATCTCCAGAAAGTTTTAATAGGTGAAGGTTGAGGTGAACACAGTAACATCTTCTAATGCGATTACTGGAAAAAACCTTTAGGCCTGGAAATATTTACTGAAATAGCAAGTTGAAAGCCAAATGTAGAAGCCTTGTTAAGATTGCCTAACATGCAGGAGGAAAAAAGGTTGTATTTATTTCACATTCTTTCAGTCAGTGTACTTGTTTCTTTACCTTTTGAGGAATGGAATCATCAGCTGTCTCAGGAAGTCTACTTGAGAAGTCAGACTGAAAACAGGGCATCAATTACATCAGCATCAGAAAAAGAACATTTTTGAGAAGAATGTATGATGGCATGTTCTCCACTTCGTGTGAATTAGACTGTCACTACATCTATTGTGTGTCAAACTGCAAGCAGACAAATACACTTAACAGTTTAAAACTGGCTGAATGCTATTTTCTGTTTGCTTGTTTTAAGTACTTTGACATTCATGCTTCATCTGAGGAAAAAAATCCTGCATGCGTACACGCATGCCTAAAAAGACACAATAAAGACTGCTTCATTTCTCAAAAACGGTGTTCCAAAATTAACAGGAACTAACTGCCGAGCTTTCAAAGGCCACATGCATTTCTACTACATAGCCCATGTTCACATTCGTGGACAGATAACAGTACATTTCACAAACGCACCTAAACCAAGGCTGGTAGTCTGTTTTTTTTCTTTTTTTTTTTCAGATCATTGCATACTGTGTTATCTAGCATAAGGCCAAGAACTCAGACTGAAGCCTCCCATGGATATGGTACTTCTCAGCCTCTAGAGGCTTGTGAAGATGCCTCTACTATTCACTGGCACGATCACCTAGCTGATGCAGGCACACCTCATCTGATGTTGCAATTGCTAGTCTTTGAGTTCACCTAGTTTTGAACCAAGTGATTCAGTCTCTTCCCCAAACATACTATGAGGAACAACTGGACCTCATCAACCATTTAGGACATACAGACAGGCAATACCAACAGAATAAAATATGTCTCACAAAAACACAAAAAATTACAGATTTTACAATAGGGCATAAAATTACTTATCACAAAATCCTGAATACTTACCAGCAAGTTTGTTTCTTGCTCAGCTTCAGGCATGTAGGGATACTGAACATAAAACATGTCATTTCGCACCATCTTCTTCCTCATTCTGCAGGGACCCTCAGTCATCTCTAACATCCACTTGTCAAGATGGGAGCCAATGGGGGGACCCCACAAGCCTCGCTCTCGTAGTAGCTCATATTCAATTTGGGACCACTCTTCTGTCACGTATTTTAGTGCATTCTGCTGACGCTGAATACAAAGACATTTGTACATGCATCAGAGTGATGCTTTTAAGCCTGTCTCTGATGTGAGCAGAGACATTTTCACTATATTACAGAAAAACGTGTAATAAATCATAATTCTAGTAGCATTTTCTAGTATGCCTTAATGAGATTTCTGGTGTCAGTCACCATAAAAGCAGGGTTCCTATTGTAATCTTCTCAACAAAAAGTAAAAGCTCTGCTTTTGGCTTGTATCATTAATTGAATGTATTTCTGAATGGCAAATATGAAGGAAATGTAACACTAACCACTGATTTTGAAAAAGGATTTTAAGAACGAAAACAAAAATTGGTCTGGAGGCCTTCCCTGTATGTATTTAACACTGGAGAGAGAAGTTAAATGAAGCAAAGCTTGGTTGTTTTTTTAACTAATCGCTTTCAATGACTTGTTTCTCTTGGTGCACAGCTCAGCAACTAGTTTGAGTCCAGGGTCTTTGGGGATGTTTGGAAGAACGGGTGCAATGATTTCATTCTGGAAGGCACAGAGCAGCCACTTTCTAGTGCTGCATGATTTGGGAAAGGTACCATAAATTTTTCTTTGTGTTACTATAAAAGCAGTGTTTGTACAGAATGCTTCTCCACATCTTCAGATATTTTAAATGTTTTAGAAAGACAGCATATTCTAGCATATTTCCAGTCACTCTTTTTTTTACACTTCTGAGGAAAGACTACTTAACCTTCTTGAAAAAAATTAAGATTTCATATGTAATATTGCCACATGAGTTTTCAGTTACAACCAGATCGAAGAGTTTCCTCATTTCTTTATTCGATTGCATTTAAAAAAACCTTAAAAATAACAACTGTATCTAAACATGTAAGCATTTCACGAATGACAACTTAATATTTTACAAACCCCATACTGAGAAATGGGATTGGTATAACCTAACCAGTCAAAATATCAGTGTCAGGTAATTAATCTTCTGAACCATACCTCCTGATATTCCTTATACTGCATATCAACTAGGTCCCGAACCACGGCAATGTGAGTAAACATCCATTGGGAAATTTCCTAATACAAAGGTAAGAGGACAGACAGAATGACAAATTATAAAAGAAGAGTTTTTTTTGAATGAAAAGCTTATGAATACGTCACCTTGCTAAACCCACTCACAAAGGACAGTTTCTTAAAAAGACTTAGATGAATTTCAAACTACTGCATGCAACAGTGTTTCAGGTTTTGTTTCGCTTGGTGTTTTCTTTTGTGCTTTTAAAAAGGCAGTAAATTATTGTATAGCAATATCCTTTAAAAGAAACTGGCAAACATTTGGAACGTAGTCCAAATACATGACTAACAGTTCAGAATGTTCCCAAACAGCCAAAGATTGGCATTGACAAATATTACTACTTTTCCCTATTTCCTTCTACGTAGTATTTTGTGGATGTTGCCTGGTTTGTTGGAAATCCTCAAGCCACCCAGCACTCCTCCCTCTGTACCGCAATATACCCCTTTTTACTTATTGCTCTCTCTACCGATACAGCCAGTAACGGTTCCTGTCAGGTCAGTTGGCGAGTTGCTTCCTTTTCATTTTAATGTGTATGCCTGCTCACCAGGAAAAGGACTGACAGCACGGAGAATTTTTTACTTTATCAAAGACACTGAATAATTTTCAGGTCAGAAGGAGAACTGGCCATGTATTTGTTTTCACAGGACACAAATTCCTCATTAAGTAACAGGAGTTATACATTTCCTTGTGGCAGGAATACACCTGCTCCCCTTGACCAAACATGTCCCCAGTGTTTCGAGTGCTAATACGGTAAGAACTCAATCCTCCCAAAATTTCAAATCTCTCTCTTCCCTTTGTTTGCAATGCCTCAAACACTTTATACTAACTCCTTGCAATGCCCCACCAGGTACTATTCTACTAAGAGCACCACTGCTGTGCTACTCTGGCCTAACTTCAAAAAAAAAATTCTTTTTTTTTAAGCAAGCAGGTTTGTAAAGCGAATGTCCAGTTCCACCATCACATACTGTTTTGCTGAACTCTTCTCCGCAGTACAATAAAAACGGTGCAAAGCAGCATTTGTTTAGTACATACACACTCATATAGGGATTTTCCTAAACCACATAATCTTGGGGGGCAGGATGGAAAAAAGCACAAGCATCTATCTCATAGCTTCCATTTCAGAGCAGTATTGCAAAATGAATTTAAGACCCAGACTAGCAAAGCAATAAAGCATACATGTACCCAGAAGTAGCTGAGCAATCTCATCAATAATGAAGAGTTTAAGTCTTGGCTTAATGTTACAGATATGCACGTGCCTACTAGATTAGGACACACAGAAGCAAGATGTCCAGTCTGGACATTCAAAAAGTGGAAAGAAAATCAAACACCAGATATCACTTAACACTCTGCAGGATTCCTTACATTGAGATATTTACCACAAACCCTGAACACACATTGCTAGATTTTAGACTGTGTGTTATTAATTGACAGAAATTACCTGTGTAGAGAGGTTGTGTTTATTAAGCCCGCTCTCCTTGCGGTTTCTCCTGGAACCGGTTAGTTTAGAGAGGCCGAACCCACTGCTAACTCGTGAAAGTTTGGACTGGGTGGTTGGAACCAAAGCCTCCCCTCTACTGATGCATTTCTTCTCATGAGCTGAAAAACAAAGAGAAAGTGTTGCAAGCACTTTTTAGGTTCCACCCCCATTATAGTTTTTGTTTGAAACAGAATAACCTTTTCTGCTGATTTAAAGGGGCAGGTGTTTGTCAGATTTGAGGGGAGTGTGTGGTTTTTTTGTTTGTTTGGGGTTTTTTGTTGCTATTTGTTTGTTTTAAGAGTGCTCGGCAGCACTCACATTCATGTCAAACGTTCATGACTTGTATGAGGTGAAACCTGGGAACTGCTTGCATTTTGAAAGGAAGCATTGAGTAACAGATTTGTTACTCCTTTTATTGATTATCAAAATTCGGATGCAAGAGTTATGAATTCTGTCCTCATTTGAAGAGGTGAAAACCAGCTATGTATAAACAAAATCACCAACTAGCCTCCTTCTACGCCCATTAACTTTAATTTTGCCGATTTACATCCTTGAAAGAACAACTGGGCATTCCAAAGAAAAGAAACCTCACCTGGAGAAGTATTTTTTTCTCAAAATAGTTACAAAGATAACAGAACTTATATCATTTATGTTATAAACAGTAGATACTAGCAAAAAAATGCAGCTGAGCACCGTATCTCTACCCAAAAAGGAGCTACAACATGACCACACTAACCAACCCAGCAGAAAAATACGCTGTATTGAGCGGAGAAGCTAGGTGGGCCTATTGCACCTTTTGTGCACATACAACCATCCCAGTTCATAGTCAAGTTCGCAACACTGATATCACAGCTTAGCTCAACTGTCTCAACAGTTTAACATTCTTCCGATATTCCAATACTCAGCTATCATCACCCTGTATATCAGTTACCTCTGATATAGAAAGGACACGCTCACGTTCCTCACTGATCCTTTAATTCAGTCCACCTCTGAGCTTTCTTTTCCTTCCTTTAAAACCACTACTACTTTCTTACAGCAAGACTTTCTCCAAAGGTCCTTTATTCTACTCAAAACATTTCTGCAAATATACTGACTACAAGGGATGTAGGATACAAAGGGTATTTCTCCAAATATACTGACTTGCCAGGGACAAAGCACATCTAGAAATACAGAGACTGCAAAAACAAGTATTCCAAATTTCCAAAAACACTTTCTGTACATCCATGTTAACCTCTATTACTTTAGATCCATGTAATCATCAAACGAGTCATGACTATGGAATTTTACTACCTGCTGTCTAAACTCTCGCTAATTCAGTCCAGCAACAGCTGGCCTTCTTTTTTACATGGGTGCAGAACTAACTCACGCGTAACTTGTTGTCCACTAGGATTCCCAAGTCCTTTTCCTGTAAAGCTGCTGCTATGCTGAACAAGCCAAGGAGGAGAAGTCATAGTGTCACTGCTGCTAGAGGAGGACTGCTCTATCTGCACATTTGCAATCATATCACCATCATATCACCACTGATATGGTGATAAACTGCAGACTGAGTTTGCAGGCTGCACCCAGACGTGCTCAAGAGGGGTCCCCCTCCCTACCTGGCACATCCAACCCTGACAATGGTAACACCCATCACCCCAATCCAAGTGTTCACGGGAAGGAGCTAAATCACTCCATCACTGTAATCCACAATAGGCTCTTTGATGCATGCTGAATCCCAAACAGAGGACGTTGTTGAGACCACTGACAGTGCTGAATAAAGGCCTTGTGTGCAGTGGAGGCCAAGTATCTCCTATACATGGTACAGTTTCTGAATGAGAGATGTTGAACGGTGACAGTTTAGAGTACTTCTTGCTACACAAAAGCTAAGTTCATATTAAAATACTCAGCACATATGGTTCACTTCAACAAAATCTACCATTCAGGACAGATAAATCCTCAGTTACACTTACCCAAATGATTTTGCCAACACTTTAAACTTGCTTCCTCAATAAAAGGTCTTGCAACAGTTATATCCACTTGGCCACGGTCATTGACAGGTAGCGTCACTTTGAAAACTTCTTCTAAAACCTGTTTTTTACTATGGATCAGCTCTGTCCACACTCTGTTTATGGCTTTTAAAAGAAGCTGGCGACCTGCATAGGTACAAGACCACAAACAGCAAGCTCTCTACAGTGCTTACAGAACTCGTATTTTTAAAGTAGTAAACCGAATAATTTCTGCAATTATACTCTAGTTTCTTCCCCCTCTTGCATGACTTGTAAAACGCCTTTGGCCAGGCTGTCTTTTTTGCCATCTAAATGCTATTAGAAAGTATCTAACAGTTCATTTCGGCACTTTTTTCTACGTGAATCTGAAACACCAGCTCTGATTAGTTGTGATTCTTCTCCCACATCCATCTGTTAACTAAATGAGATTAAAAAAAAAAATCTTGTAGAAGTATGTATCTATAAACACATACTGTCCTGGGTTCAGCCATGACAGGGTTAATTTTCACCAGAAGCAAACACAGCCAGGCGGACCCACCTGGCCAAACAGAGCAGGGTATTCCATACCATGTGCCACCATGCGGGGTTCTGGCTGGGGGGAGCTGGGTGGTGGGAAGGCAGTCACGGCTTGGGAGCGTGCACGAGGCAGCAGGCAGTGAGAGCTGCTTTGTCCATTCTGCTGTTTGTTCTGTGTATTCTCCTTATCTGTATCGTTGTTGTTACTGTTCCCTTTGTTTGCTGTTCTTTTAAACTGTCCTCATCCCGACCCACTAGCTTTTGCCTTTTTCTTTCCATCCTCTTCCCCACCGCAGTGGGGGGAGGGGCGGCAGAGCGACTGCGTGGCCCTTTGGTTGCTGGCCACAGCCAAACTATAACACACACATAAGGCCATACATACATTACACTTTAATATTTTTATGTATGACTGTGTGCATAAGTACACACCTGTATAAATATTAAAAATATACATGTAAGAAAAAAAAAATCACTGAATACTTTCTTCCACCACTAGTTCATAAACTTCCTTTGAGTGAAAGATCCTGAGGATGTCAATGAATAATGATTTTACAGCTTATACCAATTATTTCTTACCTATGCTTATGTAAAATCCAGCTGATACAAAACCATGGTGCACACTTAAAATGACCCATTTCTATTGCATTCAACTCAGTGCATATAAAGTAGTATTTCTAATTCTGGTGCATGTCCAGAAAACAACGAAGAGCTCTTGCTATTTTAACAAAACAGTAACTTACCCTGAATATGTCTGTCTTCGTGTTACCAAGTGTTTTTTAATCTTTTTATTAATACATTTTTATACATACATTCACTCTCCATACACCCCCAGCCCTAAGAGTAACTGGGTTAAAAGATTAGTGATGACAATGCAGAAGTGGCATTAGCAGACATCTGTGGCTTTGTCACTCAGACTACCTTCGCTGACATCTTGATTGTAGACTCCATCTGGTTCTATATCAGAGGGGATCATAATGTGCCAAGTTGTCATCCTGGCTTCTGCTTCCAATCCAAACCCATCAACGTTGCTACAAATACACAATGAATTAACAAGAACCAGAAAAAAAAAATTACAACTTAAAGCATTTGATTCCCTGTGACAGTACCACACAGATTAATACATGCTACTACAGCAATGTTATCTTCAATTCCATCCGCCTGAGTTCTGATAATCTGCAGTCACAAGCTGAACTGAAGGTTTATGAAAAATGACACGCCATGAACACTGATGTTGCTAGAGGAAGATGGTAATATTTGAAGAAACACAAAACAGTCGAGGCTACAAATTGAGAACATTAGGGATTCTGATGATGATGATGATGTCCAAGTGTCTTTGGATGAAACACAAGTCATACATTCTTTTGGAAGCTAAAAATGAAAATGCAAGGCATTTGCAGCTATGCAGAAAAGTGGGTGTCTACAGCATTTGTCACAGGCATCTGATTTTAAGCCTGACTGAACTTCTTCAATGCTATACATCCAAGTACTAAGATACAGAATTTGCATGAAATGATTCAAGAGATAATAAATCCAATTAGCAAAGAGATATGTCATTACTTAGCACCAGTGTTTCTTTCTACTTTGAAAACATTTCAAAATATCAAAGCATTACAACAAGATAGTTAGCTAGGCACTTCTATCAGTATTTTAAAATGCCTCTGTAAGAGGAGAGAAGAATGTTCTCTATACCTGGGGTCTTCAAACCTATTTTTGTTTCAAAATGAACCACTTGAGCTTGCTTGCATTTCACTGGCTGGAAAGTTATAAACAGTTATCCAGAAATCGCTGACTTATTTGCAAGATGAGTGTCATTGCTGGGAGAGAACAGGTCATTTTAATACTTCACAGCCCTGGTTCTGGAATGAACTTCTGTCTGAGATACTTACCTTCCCACATGCAGATTAATCAAGCAGTGAGCTAGGCAGCTGATGAACTCTTGATCATGATTTCCAGGTCCCAGAACTAAGTTTCTGTTCACAGTAAGGACCCTTAGGGAATCAAGGAGAGCCACCTGCTGAGGAACAGTTTTGTGTGCCCTTGAGAACTGATACAAGATGGTCCTGTTCAGGCAGTGATAAATAGCATCCAGCGATAGTCCCTGAGATCTTCTTTTTGACTGGTGTGAAGTAAAAAAAACATGATCAGATAGTAGCAGAAAATCAATTTACTTGCACACAATCTTCTCCTGAATTGACCCATGCTCAATTTTCAAAATTGGTATTTAACAAAAGTGCAAATTCCACAAATTTCAAGAACCAAAATGACATAAATATATGATGATACACTTATAATTTTAACATCTATAAAAAAGCTGCTGATTTCTAACAATAAAAGTCTTCTAACAATCTCCAATAAAAGTCCATGAGCTAGCTTCCCAAAGATGTCCAAGTAAACTTAGGAAGCTTCCCAAAATTCATGCAAGGTAAATTTTGTTTATTTTGGGAGATTTCTAAAAAATAATCTGAAAGCCGTTTTTACTCAACTGCCCCGTATGAAAGCACTCCACACTGACAAGATGTGCTAGGAAAGCTCAGTGAAGAGAAAGAAAGCCTGGGGAAGGAAAGCGTACTTCTATGCTGACCTGACACACATCACTAGCAGGTTGCTTAGTGACATCACTCCATGGATTTTAACGTAACATGTGAAAATGTTTTAGCAAGCAGGCTAATAGAAAAAGTTACCTGTGCAATGAGCTGGATTATGAAGTCCACAAGAAGTTTGGATTCTTTGTTGAACATGCCCTGCCAAAGCTTGTCTACCACACGCTGTGTAAAATAAAACACATTGTTCACCAGCACTTGGTAGCTTCCTCCACTCGTTATAGGCAGAGATGCATCTTCACCTAGGTAAAAAACCAAACCCCAGTTTTCTTCGTTTATCAAAAAACAACACGTGCATAAACACGTTCACATTAGTCTGTGCTTTCTAGACTTCTGTAGCAGAGGAAAAGACTCAGGGAAAAAGCTAAAACCTCATGGCTTCCCTATAATGAGCTTTGATGGTAAGCGAATGCTTGAAATCAACAGTGACAAAGACCTAAACAGGGATGGCTGGGGCAGGAAGAGTCCAGAAGAAATGGTACTCCTGTGATCCTGAAGCATCATATTTATGTATGGTCCTCCTTTTGAACTGGAGCTGCATGTTTGCAGAACGACCTGTAGCCTTTTCAATTACAGAATCACAGAATGGTAAGGGTTAGAAGGGACCTTAAAGATCATCCAGTTCCAAGCCCCCTGCCATGAGCAGGGACATCTTCCACTACACCAGGTTGCTCAGAGCTCCATCCAACCTGGCCTTGAAAACTTCCAGGGAGGGCGCAGCCACAACTTCTCTGGGCAACCTGTGCCAGTGTTTCACCACCCTCATGGTGAAGAATTTCCTCCTAATCTAAATCTGCCCTCTTTTACCATTCCCCCTTGTCCTATCACTACACACCCTTGTGAAAAGTCCCTCTCCATCCTTCCTGTAGGCCCCCTTCAGGTACTGGAAG